ACTTCAACTCCCAGAATTCCCCAGCCAGCATGGGTGTTGGAATTCTGGGAGTTGAAGTCCATGCATCTTAAAGTTCCCAAGATTGAGAAACACTGATCTATAGACAGCACAGTTAATACTCATGTTGGTTGTAGAGAATGAGAGTACATCTAGAGGACCCTGGAGTTGGGAAAGATGCCACATACCTGCAGAGTATGTCAGTACACATCTTGTACTTTCTAATTTGGTGAGATGCAGGCAACAATATGCTCCCTTGGAAAATATAATAGTCTCTAGAATAGAGATGCTGATTTACATGTTTGGGGACAAATGACTTTGGTTGCATTTGAATCAAACTGGCCAAAATGTGCCCACTATTGGATGTACTGTTAGCAGGTAATGCAGCACATAATAGGGATACCTTTAAGACTGGTAATCTGGTTGTTTCTTCCTCCTTTTACTAACAATCTTTATGATGGGTGATGGTCAATATCTGTGAGCCCACCTGATGATAGGCCTGTCACATGGAAAAGTGTAAGAGAATAAAATGGTAAAGAACATAAATTACCAAAAAAGAAAGAAAAAAGAGAAGTTTTAGGTCTGTGGAACAAGACAAATGTAATAGATCTGAATGAAGATTCTGATCTTGCAGAATGGAATTGATAAAACACATGCAGGACCAGGAAAGCATAAGCTTAAACAGAATAAAAGGGCTAAAATGCATCCCTGAAAGTATGAATGAGTATCAACTAGGTTGCCAGGGGTGCATATGAAAGTAGGAATCCATAAATTGATGACAGTTGCACGTCATGCTCCAGTGAGCGATGATAATGGAAGAACCAGAGAAAACTGTGCAATATTCTAAATGAATGCAATCTGGAAAAAAAAAATTATTCTGCTAGGTGACATAAACAGATGCGCGGGAATGAGATGAGAGAATGCAGAAGAATTGACTGGGCCATCTGAAGACCCAAGAATGAATGAACTGACTCTGGTGAGCATCTGTTTGAAAAAAGGCTTGTTTTGAACACAGGTGCACATGGAAAAGGAATAAATATAATTCTAGAAGCATGATTGGTTTGATAGTTTCTGGGGAAAGATTTACAGAACTACTGAAGGATACAAGGTTAATGAAGAGGTTCTGAATGTGGGACAGATCATTATATGGTGATGTTAGGAATGGATCTGGACATGGAAGAAAGGAACGAAGTGAAAGAAACTAGAGAGAAAATAGAACAACCGCAGGAAGAGAAAATACAACTATATGAAAATGATTATGAAATCGATTAATCTCCCGACAGAATGATTCGAAAGCAAACATAAGGAAAGAGAATGTGGAAGCTGCTTGAAACAGAAGGCAAAGGCATTATGTTACTGAATGCCACATGTATGTGCACTAACAGAAAGTATGAAGAAGGGTGCACAGTGGAACAATAAAGTGGAAAAAAAAGTTGTGGATGAGAAAAATGCAAGATTGCTGCAAAAAGTAAGGTACTCTATTACACAGAATAAAGGCAGCTGCAAAGACTATAGCGAAAGGAGAGTAAGGAACAATTACGTTAAAAAGGCAAAGAAAATGCAGCATGACTTCATCGCGAATTTTAAAAATTTGCTTTGGAAGTGGATAAAGAGGGCTAAACAAGGAGCCTCCAGCAATGGGAACAGAATTAATAACAGAAGTGATGAAATGACCTAGGATGAATTATTAATTCGTACATACAGGGCTAACACCATGTATGCCTTAAGAAAAAAACTTCAGGAGATTCAAATTTTGAGAATTCTACTTAGGAGTAAGGAACCAAAAGAAAATAATCTTTTGCATTGCATTAAACCATAATGCAGCTTAGCATGAACAAAGAACCCAGCCCCAGCAAACATTGCTGGATTAGACCAAGAGACCAATTAATTCAGGATCCTGCATCACAAAGCAATCAGCCAAGTGCATCTGAAGTTCACAAACATGACAAGATGAGTTACAGTTTTCTTTCATGGTTGCTTTCCTATAGCTGATTATTTAAATCCTTTATCCACCTATTTTATTTTTTATTTTTTGTTTTATTTCTATATTGCTCTTTCCCTTAAAAAAATCCAGAGCTGATTTCAAGAGAATAAAAATAGTCTTAAATCAAAGTACCACAATAAAACCAACAATTCCTTAAAAGCAAGAAATGCAATAATTAAAACAAGGTTCATTTAGGAAAAAACAAAAAAACAGGAAATCTGAAAGGCAGTCCGATCCCAAAGTGGCTCTGATCCTACTAATGCCTTGGTAAACAGACATTTTCTTGAAACAAAAAGCAAACTTCCTTCGGACAGAGTTCAACATTTGAGGTGCTACAATTGAAAAGACCCTACTTTTGGCCATCATGCTCTGAACTAAACTGTTTTAATTATGGAGTCCTTGGGGTTCTCTGAGCCTGGTTCTTTTCTTGCAAACATTTCAT